TATAACCAGCTAGACAACCTTTCGCCATTTGGTTGGGAGTAATATTTAATAGTGTTTTCGTTAAGCATCATTAATGTTAACACGTACAGTTAGTGATCGTAATAAACGTCTTTTGTTATGGCCTAGTAAACAACCACCTAGCAACACCCCACCATTCAAAATCTGTTAAAAAAAATCTAGTTTTTATATATTTACAATAATCATATTTAAGTTTTTTTTTATTGGACACTGGCTAATATTTTTATTGATTAGCAGTTAAGCCGTTTGTTGTTTATTAACATCTGTACATATAGTATGTATTAACAACACTCTAATTGGCTTGCTCTCTTAGTGTTTGTTGCCGTGGGAACGTGTATATCCTGTGGGATCGGCGCTTACCCTAACTGGACATTTTTTTGTGGCTTCGTGGGCATGTTCATGTTTTTCTGCGCGCACTGGCAGACATACGTGTCCGGGACACTCCGCTTCGGATTGTGAGTGCATTTACGGCTTATTCGATTGAATTTACTGAACCTGTCTGTGTGATGTTTTTTAACTGTATTGTATTTTCGAATGTTTTCTGCAGGGTTGACGTGACAGAAGTCCAGATTGCTATTATAATCATGTATTTGATGACAGCATTTGGAGGAGTGAGTCTTTGGGAGACTAGGGTATGTCATTCACCTTCTTTAGCATCACACTAAGCCTCTGAAGTTTCTTTCTCGTTCACAACGTTTATAAATTCACTCCCATTATAATCACTGAAGCGGTCTACACTGGAAGAGTCCATTGTGGCCAATCACAAAGTGCTTTCAAATGATGGACATGGTGTCTGTTTTTGACTTGATGCAGAGATATGATTTTAATTACAAGTATCATATTGTGTGAACTAGGGCTGCACGATAAATCGCATGTTTTCACCGTTGTTCACTGACGAGCTGCGCAAAATATGATTGTGGTTTTGCGCAGCTCGTCAGTGAACAACGGCTCTGTGTAGTTCATGCTGCTCGATGTGAAAGCATGCACGTGATGGAGATTTACCGCTGATTACAGAACCGGCTTTACTGATAAGATGCGCATTAAATATCGCATGCGATTTATCGTGCAGCCTTAGTGTGAACTGACTGCTATTTTATTTGATATATATTTAAATAACTTATGACTGTTATATCAAAGTCAGCTTGTGATGTTGCTGGCCTACTAATTAAAAATCACTCAATTAAAAATTTTGCTTTAAACCATGTGCACGCTAGGGCTGTCAATACAATCTTCAATACATATTGTAATTCTTTTTCCTCATGATTTCACATCTTTTTATTAAACAAATACGATCAGAATATTATTTACTTGCATAATAATTATGCATGCAGTATATATATTAATAGAATAAGAATAATAAAATAATATTAATATAGCATATATTAAAGTAAAGAGAAATATCACATCTTATATTAGTAGTTTTTATTTGTTTATTCATAATGATAAGAAGGATACATTTCAGTGGAGATATCACATATTATTATTTTATATGTTTATTCACAATACTAACATAATATTAATAATAATACACTTGGGTAAATATTTCACGTCTTTTTATTAATAGTTATTCAAAATAAAAACATTATAATATTAAATATAATAATAATAACAACTAACATTAATATATATTTAAGTAAATATAAATATAATCTTTTATTAGTATTTTTTATTTACATGTTCATTCATAATAATAATGATAATAATACATTTAAGTGAAGATATCACTTTTATTAATATTTTTGTTTATTTACTGTAATGTGGTGTTTGGGTTTTGTCTTGTTCATGCTTTCATGTCTTTTATTTTGTAATTGTTTTATGCTGTTAGTGTCATGCTTCTCTTGCCCTCTTGTCTCGGATTATTGTTTGGATGTTTGGATCACACTGTAAATAAACTGCACTTGGGTTCTTCACTACGCTCGCCTTCAGTGGATTGATCGTTACATTTATATGTTTATACACAATACTATCATAATAACAATAACAACAACAATAATAATAATAATACATTTGAAATATAACATAACTCAAGCTATAAATATAACATCTTTTTATTAATAGTTTTGGGGTTTTGCATGTTTATTCACAATAAAAACATTCTAATGTTAAATATAATATAAATATAATAACCTCAGTTGCGGTGTGACATGCAGTCGAACTACAGACTTTGTATATTTTTATTAAAAAAAAGAAAGCTTTCAAATCCTCCAAAACTGTGAATCATGTCAGAGCCCCATTTCTGAGTGTGTTCTTTAAGTAGACCTTCTGTCTTTTGCTCTCTGCCTCCTCTCTGAGGACAAACAGACTGTGAAAAGGTAAATATAGGTAAAAACTGCTACTATGGCTACCAGTCACCCATAGACGTGCCAAAAAAAAAAAAAGGCAGATGTCAACACGCACATGAATCTATTCTAACCTCTCCTCATTTTATAAAGCATGCTCAGAGCTTCAGCCCTGCCCCTTCCCAGCTCCCCTGCTCACATGAGACACAAAATAACAGCTACTCTCATATTAAAGACACGGATTTCTCATTCTTTCACCCAGGTCCCTGTTCTTGGTGTGGATTTGCAAACCTTTCCAATCCTCGGCATTATTGGTGGCTTTCTGTATTCAACCTATAACTACTTCTACGTCATCCTGAACGGTGGCGTGGGCAAAAACGGCTCAACCGTTGCAGTAAGTGCTTTCCAGCAGTGAGGTCTTCAAAGTAGTTGTTTTTGTTCCTCAAAAGCATTGAGTCCTATTGCAGTCACGTTTTTGGCACACTTCTGCTTATGATAGCTCAGTTACCAGATTTAATGTAAGGCAAAGTTAAAAAAAGTGACCTCTTTAGGGTGATTGCACATGTCTTCCTCAGGACACCAGTGTATTGTCTCCTGGTCTACACATCGGCCTCATCCTCTCTCTGGCCTTCATCATCTTTAAAAAGTCCTCTAGTCAGGTTTTCGAGCACCATCCTTGCCTTTACGTCCTTACATTTGGCATAGTGATCGCCAAGATCTCGAATAAGCTGGTGGTGAGTGCTGCTGATGCCTATATAAGAAGTCAAAATTGTTATTTGGCCCTTGCAATCATGAGCTTCATCATTTACATAAACAGTTATCCAAAATGCATCAGGTGTGCTTTCTTCTACAGGTGGCCCACATGACCAAGAGTGAGCTTCATCTTCCTGACACAGCCTTCATTGGTCCTGGACTCCTCTTTTTGAATCAGTATTTCAACAGCTACATTGATGAACACATCGTGCTTTGGATCGCCATGGTGAGCCACAACCATTAGTGGGTCAAACCACCGCGTTTTCAAATGCACCATATAGCAAAATGTTTACGGAGTCAAAACTAAAGTCTGTCTCTGCTCCAACCCCATGTTTAGGTGTTGTCCCTGGTGGATCTGCTGCGTTACTGCACAGGTCTGTGCCTGCAAATCGCCGCCCACCTGCGAATCCGGGTTTTCAGTATCACCCCACAGGGCCACGCACATAGAGACTGACAATTTGCCCGGCGGGAGGAGGAAGCGGTATCTAAGGATGAAGGCATTGTCCCACTTCTCAAACTAGAGCAAGAGAGCCCCACCAACCAAAACCGCAACGGCCTTGACAGTGTGACCATCACAGACTAACAGAACTGAATGTTTTGCCAGGTTTGACCAGACCAGCTCGTATCGTTTTCTAACCACACTACTGTACACTAGAATATATCACTGGATGAAAAGAAAGAGTTTAGACAATGTACAAAATGTGGCCTTGGGGGCCAGAGGGCGGCCCTTGCCTTGAAATGGTTCATTCTGTGCAGGAACACATTAGAAATACTTGTTATTATTTTTTCAAAGGATAAAGAAGGAAAATTGGTGGGAAATCAAACGTTGAATTTGAATCGGCCAAAAACGTTTGCATAGAATCATTTCCTCAATTTGGTGAAAGATAGAGATGAGCAAAAGAATCAAAAAAATAACGGAGGGAACATGTTTGTTTCACAACAGTATTTATCACAGTAGATATGTACTTTGTTTTTTTGGGGTTGATCATGTTTGTCAATTTTTAACAAAAAAGGGAAGCTACAACTGCAGTTTGGGCATCCAAGTCCATTTTCTACATCGTAATATCTATTTCATTTAGGCCCATTTTTATATGTCTGATCTTGATACATACAACAAAAGCAAGTATTACAAACATATTTCTCGGCCTGATATAGTCGCCAAACTGCCAAAAATAGTTTACACCACAGAACCTTTTATACCGTTCAGAATTTTTAATGTTGATAAAAAAGCAGCTATTTGTAGATCATGTGACACTTTATAGAAGAGAATAAGCTCCAGAAAAGAAAACTGCCCAAACAGCCATTGTAGCTTTACGTAAACCTTTTGTGATTGTCCAGTGATTACAGTGTATTTATTTTAATAATCTGACTCAATTTAGCGTGAAATTAAGTCAAGCCTGTTTAAAACAAAAATAATAATTGAAAGAACTTAATTGTCAAGGACTGTGTGCTAAAAACAGACTCATCTCTCCACCCCCTCCCTAGTCACCCAATCCCAGTTTGCTCAGACTTCCTGGTTGTATGTTTCACTTCCTAGAGCTTCAACTGAGCACAAACAGAGTTATTGGGCATTGCCTTTAGCTCTGTTTTGAGGGATTTTGGGGGGTGTTGATCTGTGCCTGTTTTATGATGCACTCTCTGCCTGCTTAGAATCATCTCCTCCCAAAGGGCTAATAAAAACGATACATTTTGTTTGATTTGAATAGAGCACCATCTAACGTCCATTTCTTACGTGTTTTGGGGTCTTCTTTTCATACTATATTAGCTACATTTCCTCCTTCTGGAAGCAAGAATCAATGACACATAACAGCAAACAGGAGCAGCTACATTTGCTTGACCAATAAATATTAACCCAGTCAATGACATTTCAAAACAACAAGGCATATCAATGCAGTCATGAAAGATTTTTAATTAACATATTTGGCTGTTTCATTACACTTCGGCATTCAGATTATGTTCTTATTTCATTATCAAATTAGGCACCTGGTTGAATTTACAATTGACACAAAAGTGGTAAATTGTCAGTGTAATTTAAAGACCTAAAAGAAGTGTATTTTGACAGAATTTTAGCAACATACATTTCCAAAATAAAACAAAGATATGCTTGTACATTACAATTATGTCTTTTCTAACATAATAAATAAAAGTAAACAGGGAAATTCATCCCAGAACAGCATTATGCAAAGGTTTGGGGTCAGTAGTTGCAACGTTTGAGCAAGCCAAAAAACGATTCCCTTTAAAAGACAAGTGAAGGTGAGGAGTTAATTAATACACACCAGGGCCACAGGCGGTGGCATCTGAATTTCAGACAAAGTCAGTATTTAATGTCCCACTAAGAGACAATCACGTGAAGGACTTCAAGCAAAAACGACATGCAGTTAAAAATAGAAAGAGAAGGAAATGGCTCATTTTTATGATCCTTGCCCAAATTTACAAGTATCAGGATTGCTATTCGGTTTTAAATATGCTCCTGGAGATGTTGTGCCACTTTGGAATAAACAAGAGTGACAGATTAAGACAAATGCAAAAAGCCAAACGCAAGGCCAAGAGTTCCAGCCGCGCATTAGAATCCACTACTTTCATTCATGTGGAAAAGAAAGGCACTGCAAGGACAACAACAACCCTTACCCTTGACATTCCCTTATAAATTAAAATTCTAATTAATACAATTTAAACATGTAAGGTAATATGGCAACACACTCAATTTGGGCCATTGAGTTCAGTTCACATTCAATACGCAACCTGGAGTGTGATCGCAGGCTGAGAGAAAGTCACTTGCCTCGAGGGCCGCAGTGTGTCTCACTAATGCCCCTTTGTGGAGGAGGCCTGCACTTCGAAGTTTCTTCATCAACTTCACCCAGTCACCTCTAAATGGGCAATTTTATCTGACGGCATTAACAGAAGTACAGCTGTGGTACTTCATATTCACACAACAACCTCTGAGAGAGGAATAACCTCACACCCGCTCGGGGGTCGCATCCTTGCTGACCCTGCGTCTGAGGAAAAGCCACCGTTTCAATATGATCAGCTGAGGGACAGACAGAAAAGGAAGAGGAAGGAGTGTCAACCAAACCTGTTATGAATGCTGCTGGGCAACTTGTGACAGACACGTGATACACATACAGTATAAAAAACAAGATCAACATATGATCAAAACAGGGAAGGACGAAGAAAGAAAGACTAAAGGTCCTTGCACACGGAGTTCGAAATTTTCGTATGCGTTTTTCCGTTTTTTTTTTCGTATTCGTCATCCTTTCCTATCAAAATGCTTGATACGGATGCGAAAACGCAGAAAATCGAACCTGGTCCGAATTTTTTTATGACGGACGAAAGTTTCGGAGGCAGTGTGTAAACGTGATTGACACAACGTGAGGTCGTATTTATTTTTCAACGTGTGAAAATTTCGGACTAAAAATTCGGACTCAGTGTGCAGAGACCTTAATTCTAGAATTAAACAGTATGCAGTTTAGATTCACAGAGTAACTATGTGATTCTAATTAATCTTCATAAATTCACTACATTTTTTTTTTCTTTTGATAATTGATTCAGAAAAGTTTGACAAAGAAACATGCATCAGTGAATTGATTTTTTCCCCCACCCCTTATGGAGAAGTGCTATTTAAAAATAAAAATCAATCAACTATTATTTTATTCATTTAAAAAAAGTACTTTTCAACTTTATAAATGTTTAAAAAAAATATATCCATATTTACAAATGTTTAATTGTTTAAAAAATTAAACATGTATTTTAATTCATTAATAAGAATGTAGCTAAAATGTTTGAAAATACAGTTAACTGAATAGAAAAAAAAATTGTGAATAGAAATTCAAACTGACATATTAATATCCATTTAAATCATGTTTAAAATTATAGTTAAATGCAACGATACAATAGCACATTAATAAATCATTGACCAAATCATTTATAAATTGGATTAAAGTTGAAGTGGCTGGTGAACTTAAAACTTCTATTTTTCTTAGCCCAATTTAAAAATGATGGAAAAATCAATGTGTAAAATGTTCATAAAAATGATATATAAATGTTGCTTTTTTCCTCAATTTATGTATCATTACATTGAACCGTTTTTAAACATTAATTAGATAGTTTTGAATATGTCTATTTATTTTTTTTAATTCAATCAGATTGATTAGTGATAATAAATATATAATTATATAATGAATATAAACCATTTATAATATATAACAAAAATAATTTTTTATTAATACATTAATGATTGGTTTCATTGCATTTTAAGTGGCCATTCAGAACCCCTAACTAATAACAATACATAAAAAAAAGAGAAAAATGAGTGCTACATACAAGCAGGAATTCCATTAAGAGAAACAGGATGTGGCTAAACGAGTTAATGGGGAGGCTGTAAATCTGTTCTGAAGATTGTAATTAAGCCAGTTAATGTGCTAGTCAACATGACATGCCTCTACATGCATGTACGGCAGCAGAGGAAGCACCCGCTGATAATGTTTCATCTCCATATTTGTACTTCTGGTGAGTGTTCACATTACTGTTCTGTCACTAAGGACAGATGAAGACACACTGGTCTTTTAAAAGGTCACCGTGACCATTAACCTCTCCAAAAGACAGAAACCTGACCCCACAATTAATAGTGTGACTATTTGCTGCAAGCTGCCTGGTTGATCAATCATCAGGATGATATTTTTGCCTTTACCATTTCCTTAAAAGAACACAGAGGGTTGCTGGGTAAAAGTTGATATATTAATTGCTAAAGGTAATGAGACTAGCCAGACTCCACTGGACTCTGTGTTTGTGTGAGACAAAGTTAAATGAAGAACCAGAGATAGTGGACAATGAACATGTAAGCTGAACCGAACTGACCTGCTCAGCAAAGAACGATATGACAGTGAAGACGACTAACGTCACCAGCACACAGTGGGTCCAGAACTTCAGCTTGTCCCTGTATATTCGCCTGTGAAACAGAAGATTAACTCTGGTTAGCCTGTTACATGGTAGATGCTATAACTACACAATCTGGATCCAACAAGCATCATTATACACTGATAACACTGTAGCTAAAATATGTATTTCATCAGAGTACACAACAATTTTTGAATGGTTGTCATTTTGTTTTCCTGCTGCTCCGAAGTGAACAGAAAAGTTTTGAATAGATCTCCAGGTATAGAATTCATTGCTGTGAAACTCCAAAAGTGAAGGAAGTTGCAAAGTCTTTTAGAAATACAAGAGTCAATGTATAATATATAATATAATGTATACAAAAAATTATACACTACTGTGCAAAAGTTTGGGGGCAAAGGCTTTATTTTTAAGTCTTTTATGCTCACCAAGGCTGCGTTTATTTGTTAAAAATGACAGTAAAACCATTAATATTGTGAGAAACATTTTAAGAAACATTTCTTATTATCATCAATGTTGAAAACAATTGTGTCACTTAATATTTTTTTGTAAAACTACTGTTAGTTGCTTAAACTTTTTTTTTAAGAAATCTTTTGTAATCTTTTTATGATCAATTTTATGCAGTACTGCTGAATAAAAGTATTAATATAAAATAATATTAAATAAGAAATATATTTTAGATATAAAACAAACACTATTTCAGAAAATTTTAACTAATGACAAAGTCAACTATTAAATAAAAAGTAGCACCTTTAATAGTGTACAGACCTCAATCATTGTTCAAAAATATAATTTTCTTATAATAATGATAATAATATATTAATATGTTTTCCAAGGTAAATCTATTTTATTTAAATTCTAAAATCTATTTTGAAGGTAAAACTTTTGTAAATAAATTTTAATTAATAAATATCACTATCAAATGATCTGATTTCATATTAAATTTTCTAGTACTTAAATACATTTACTGACCTTGCCAGGCAGCTCTGCAGTGATACATTATATGACTCAAGTTATTAAATATTACTAAACAATTCTGTTAAAAAGGAAAATATAAATAAATAAATAAATAAATAGATAGATGAATAGATCATTAAAAACATGCCCGCATTGTAACAGTGAGCTCATTCACTGCTGTCAGCATACAAGGGCAGGAATGGTGATGCTGTCTTAACTCTTGCCAGATTCAAAACCGTATATTTATCAAGACTGTGACTGACAGTTCACAGTGACTCAAGTTCTGATGTCACGCAGCAGGCCGTCGGAGGTGAGAGGGTGACCATTTTTGTGGTCACCCTCAATCAAAGACATCATCATCTGTGAGGAGCACAGTCCGTTACCCTTTTGTCACCGGCGTGTTTGTGTCTGACAGAGCCAATCTGCGCATACACAGCTTTTAAAATCAGCCTATGGGGCTGCTCGAGCCTGGCAGTGCCCAAAAATAACACCCTGGCCCTCAGGTCACACGCCTCTGATGGGGCTTTATGGGGCATCTGGGTGTAACAGAGAGCCGCTCTGGCTGGTTGAGCATGAATGGCAAATGCACTTGTCATAATTTCCAGCCTGTAACCCTCCAAAGGAGCGACAGATACATAAACCCTTCTTCAACCACCTCCCCATTCCCAGAATTCCAGACTGTGTCGACAGCTATCACCCAACTTCACACAGCGATGACAGGAAGGAACGTTTACCAGTATTCACAAGAGTAAAGCAACAGAAACAGGCTATAAATCACACACAACTTCACACAGCTAAATGTAAACAGACTTGTGAAACTCATTACAACAAAACCAAATATATCTCTACACCAATAAACCATTATATTCAGGGACTAATGATCTGAAAAGTTTTGGAGACATGTTATAAATCTCATCAGGTGTAAACACTGCTGTTTGAAAGCTTAACGTTTACTCAAAATGATGGATGAATCAATCAGTGATTCAATTCGCTCGCCCTCATGTTGTTCCAAACCCATATGGCTTTCTTCCATGAAACACAAAAGGAGATATTTTGAACAATGTGCCGGCTGCTTTTTCATGCAATAAGTTAGACTTAAAAAGGCTTAAAGACTGAAAATTTAGTTTGTTCTTTACACAAAGCTATTACATGACATCTGAATTATAGTGCGTAAATCATATGGACTCCTTTTATGGCATTTTTGCATCCTCATTGAGGCTTCATAAGCTTGTTGTGTGCATTTTGTGTACATATGTGTGCAATTTTAAACATTTAAATCAATTTAATTTAATCAATACATTTTTGAGGCTTGAAAGTTCTAGTACCCATTAACTGTACAATAAAATACTGTTTTTGAAGAATGTTAGTTTTATTTATACACTATTATAGTATTATTTATTACTCTGAAATAGTTTTTATTTGTAGATTTTCAGTTTCCGCTTTATTTTAAAGGGATAGTTCACCCAAAAATGAGAATTCTCTCATTAATTACTCACCCTCATGTCGTTCCAAACCCGTAAGACCTCCGTTCATCTTCGGAACACAAATTAAGATATTTTTGATGGAATCTGACAGCTCTCTGTCCCTCCCATAGACCGCAAGGATCCTAACACGATCAAGGCTCAGAAACGTAGCAAGGCGATCGTTAAAATAATCCATGTTACATCAGGGGTTCAACCGTAATTTTACGAAACTACGAGAATACTTTTTGTGCACAAAGAAAACAAAAATAACGACTTTATTCAACAATTTGTCTCCTCCTCGTCACCCTATAGCGTCACCCTATAGCTAAATTATATAAAATATATATTTTTGGAGAGTATCATATACGCAAACAACGTAAACAGCGTATCCGCGTACAGTGCTGCTGACACAGAACAGCATACGTCGTTTACGTATGTGATACTCTCCAAAATGGCGCTATAGGGTGACGCCGAGCAGACAAATTGTTGAATAAAGACGTTATTTTTGTTTTCTTTGTGCACAAAAAGTACTTTTACAAAATTACATTTCCGATTTTCATTGAGTTTAAGTTCTTCAACTAAGATTTATTTTATTTCAGTTTTATTTCAATTAATGAACATGTTTTTAATAACAATAACAACATTGCTTAAAGCATATCCTTTTTTGTTTCACTGGAAGTCATGCAGGTTTGGAACAACATGAGGGAGATTTAATGATGATTCTTTGGCTGCAGTTCAGTTTTTAAGTCAGTGTTTTATGTGGACAGATATTTTTTTTCTTTACACTACCGTCAAGCATAATAAACTTCTTTATTTAGGTTTAATGGCTGCTATGCCTTTATTCAAACACTTTTGTTCTTTATTTTTCATGTCGATTCGGTCCATTACAGTTTCATATTCAACTATTAAAGCTCTTTCTGTTGAGCATTTCACTAAACTACCACCAGACTTGGTCTGTCCTGATCTGTTCTGTTCATGTTTCAGATTCAGTAATGTACATTTGACTTGTCTTTGTTAAATGCTTAGGTAAGTTTCTGTCTTCTACACAAACATGCAATGAATGATTGTTTGTGACTAAATTCTTACCACTCCTGCAGCTCTGTCACGTGGAGGAAACGGTTTCTGTATTCCCTGGGCAGCTCAAACTGAGAGGGCAACGGGAACATTGACTCATAGAAGTCCCTCAGTACAGCTTTGACTGTGTTGGCGTCCTTATGGCTGTGGTCAATATTGTCATTCAGGCAGATAAACTTCCTGTAGGCCAAAAAAGGGGCTTAAAGTAAGATTAGGCTTCCCAAAGTGCGCAAAAAACAGGAACGAAAGCCCCTGAACGAACCTAGGGTTCTTCCTGATGTCATCGAGCTGCCCCACCACATGGGAGACGTTGGTCCGTATCATCTTAAAGGCGATCTCTTCCTCGCCCATGATTTCAAATCTGAAAAGAACAAGAGCCTGCATAACTAACCTGGTCCCGTAAGAGATGCTGAAGAGCTCCAGCTGAAGTGTTTGTGGGAAGGTAATGAAAATCTTACTTGTATTTATTCTGGTCCTTGAAGGTTTTGTGGATCCTCTCTGTGATGGGTTTGCAGTGGATTACTAAACCTTTTGTGACGGGCGGCTGCAGGAACATCAAAACAGGGATTTTATTAACAGTACCATCAAATAAGCTGATAATACAAGACTCTGCCAACCATGACAATTTTATAGCATACAGCCTAACAAGGTGTTGATCACTTAGATGTTTTGTGAGATTTTATAGTATTCTAATATTTGACTTGTATGCTTGTGTATACAGTGGCTCTCACCATGCTGGGGTCGTAATAGGCCTCCTGGGTGGGGCTGACAGTATGGAGTTGCGTGAGGTTGGATGGAAGAGCCTTTGAGCAGTTTATAAGCATCTGCTCCAGACTGGTCAAATCCTGTTTAGAGTCAAATAAACAGACGTGCCTTTCCTCAACACATGGGTAAGACAGACAATCATGTGGTGACAAAAAAAGAGCTATACATGCCTTGTGTTCACTTCACAAAACCCCTTCCTGAAGTTCTGTTTTGTATATATTTGTACATATTTTCCTGCTTTATTGTTAAGTGTTAAGTTAAGTGTTAGTTTTTTTTTTATATATTTCATATAAATTTAATGATATAAATTTATTGAATCACAATTAACTTTAAATTGATTTAAATAACATTTTAAAAGGAAATAAATTAGACAAATTTAATAATAAATTAGACTACATTAAATTAAAATATATTTGACTGTATTTCAAATTAAACTAAAACACGCATTAAATTCAAACAAATTAGACTATATATTACATTAAACAACTACATTTGAAATAAAAATATATGAACTATATCAAATTAAATGTAACTACATTTTAAATTAAATTATACTGAATTTCAAATTTAAATAAATGTAACTATATTTAAATAAAATAGACAACATTTAAAATTAAATTTAAAAAATAATTAGACTATATTAAAACACTACATTTTAAATTAAATATTTTTTTCTAATGTAAAAATCATGTCATTTTCTCCATGCTGTGGCAGAAGAGTGGTGTGTACCTGAAGGCTTAAGGGGAGTTCATGGACACGCGTGGCCAACGTGCGAATCTCACGATCAGAGAGCACGCCAGAGTGGTCTGTGTCAATTTCATCAAACACTTCAGATATATTGAGCTGCTGCACCGCACTCATCAAGAAGTAGAAATAAGAAAATGCAAACTGCATGTCCTCTGAGTGACGCACACAGTGGGACGAGGTCTTATCAAACTCCTGAGGGAAGCTGAAGGAGCAAAATATCAAGACAAAAAAGGATATATTCATTTACTTTCATACTCAAGGAACTTTTGAAGACATCTGAATTTCGGTAGCCAAAATTTTGTATCCATAGACTAACATTAAATTGATACATAAGTCTGTGTGTATGTGTTGGGACTCTTACGTGTCCTGTAGTTCCTGCATGATGAGTCTGTCAATCATGTGAGGCATGTGGGCGGGCACTTTGCGGGAAGTGAAGCCGAACTGAGCATTCAAGAGTCTGTTGACATAGCGGAGTGAATCAGCAAAAGTGTCCCGCAACCTGCGTCCAGTGGCCGACCCGTCAGTTGCATACTGCAGTTCACTCTGTAGACGCTCCTCTTCCTGTGATGCACAAAAAAAGACACATACAAAGATACACATACACTGATCAGGAGAGATTGCAATACTCAGTGTGGCTGCAAGAAGTCCTGCTTTTCAGTTACAAGAACCAATTGGCTTTTGGTTTACTCTAGAACAGTGGTTCTCAAATAGGAGGCCAAAACCCACAAGGGGCCACAGAAAACTTCCAATGGCATTGCAGGATGATATTAATAATTAATTATAATAATAAAAATATGTATTTATTATTTATTTGTCTTATCTATTTATATAACAAAAAATAATATATAATTACCTATCTATCTATCTACTAATATTAACATTTATATTAATAATATTTATATTTAATATAAATATTAACTTTATAAATATAAATATTAACTTTAACATAATTAAAATGGAAAACAACAAAATTAGATTAAACTATTTTTCTCTTCAATATCTAGTTTTAAGAATAATACATTTTATTAATGTATAATATTAAGTTTAACTGACTTAAAATGTATTTTTCCTCTAAATAAGTTGTTTTGCTTTTTTTAAAGAACATACGGATCTTGCCACTTCTAAATTTTTTTTTTATTTTTTTTTTTTTATCTCTATCAACATTCCCAGTTTTAAATTAAACAGCATTAATGTTTTGGTTAAAATATTACATTAAAGGTGGTAAATTACTTAATTTTTTTTTTAACATCTCAAAGACGTCTTACATCTTTTAGACTTTTATACCCACTGTATGTGTGTATATGTATGGGAGGCCTTCAGTTAAAAAAAAAAGTTGTAGAACCATGTCTCACCTCCAGCAGATCCTGAAAGAACTTCCTCTTCTCCCATGGAAGGAAACCCCGGTCCAAGCTGGAGGTGTAATACTGGAGTTTACGACCCACTGGCCGCCCGCGGAGGTGGGCTTCATTTTCTGAATCTCTCTCTTTAGACAAGTTCCCCATCAGGGTGCTGAGAAGCTTAGATGCGAGGGGTTTCTCTATGCCAAACAATCTTGATTGAGCCTTCGGTGTAACACCATCAATCTGAACTGGGACAAGAGACAGAGCAACACCTGGTTCCAATTCAGAGTGTTTGTTTCTTTCCTCATCTTCATTTGCTTGTTTCACCCTCACTGCTCTTTCATCCTGATGTTGACTGATTACAGGAGGCTTCTGGTCTTCATTCGAGTGTTTTGCTTGTATGTCCTGGTCTTGTTTTTCAGAGTCTTTATTGTTTAGTAAAAGCTTAGCTTTGTCTTTGTACGGCCCCAGCAGCACTGCTTTGGTCAAATTAAAGCCTTTAATAGTAATGTCACCTAATATTAGCTTCTCGTTCAGCTTCTGTAACTCAAGCTTCACTTCCTCAGGCAAAAGAGATTCATTTAACGCAGGCACCTGTACAATCTCTACACCGCCATGGGCTTTCTCTCTAACTCTTGGGCCTTGTTTTTCTTTGGGAACCTTTTCAAACATGACCACTGGTTCTGGGGTCACCACGGTCAGTTTGGGCTCCTCGTCTTTCTCCTGCACCGGATCGGATACGTTTGATTTGGGGAGCTCTCTGGTATCCACTGCTACAGAGAAAGTCATGGTGAAGTCGTGGTTATTGGCACTCTGAAAGGTGATGTTGTAGTGGATCTGAGTGGCATTGTGTCCAGGCAGCAGCAGCAGGTGGATGGTCTTCCATTTGTTGGCGACAGAAGTGTGACGGAGCGCTGGGTTATCAGCGACCTGTGCCTCGGACACGCGGTTAGCCAGGCCTGAGAAGCTAAAATACGGTTGGAGCTCTCCCTGAGGCAGGGTGTAAAGCGTTTGGTTCCTCCGAAGGACGACACAGTGCAATTGGTTGAAGTTATCTTATAAATGCACAAACAAACAGAAAATGAGTCCAATCAATTCCTACTAGACTTAAGAAACACTCAAGTGGTTGTCAACCAGGGGTCCAGGAAACATTGAGTTCAACATTAAAGGCTCGCAAAAGAAGTCTGCCACATATCCAGAACAGTTCAAAAATACACAGTGAACCTGTCCAATGCTATTAATTTTAATGAAAAAGATATGTAGGGTCATATGTCCAGCCTTGTACAAAGTGTGTAAACACCGCATCTGTCTTTTATTCTTTTAATTTAGTTAAATTTGTTCTGATCAGGGGTGTGGCTTTGATTTTGACATTGGTGGGAACAAAACAGCCCATTAAATTTGTTTGACAGCAATTTCATGTCAACTAAAGTGGGGAGTCTTCTTAATGACACTGCACATCACTTTTTTAATAATAAAAAATGAATTGGACCAATGTTTATTCTGAAAGTTACTAAATTCTACACCTTTGATAGTTCTGTTCATATTATATATATATATATATATATATATATATATATGGGCCTGTTGTGTTAGAGAGTGGAGGGACTTTAGGTCAAAACTGTTGAGAACAACTGGTCAAAACTCACCTTGTCCGCAGTCACCGACATCGAACCCACATGCAAGAACGTTGCACGCCTGGTCACAGAATTTATCAGCCAACCAAGAGTTAGCACAGCCTTGGTTACAGAAGGACACGCCCCCCAATCCTCCGAGACCACCGCCGAACTGCCAAGGCTGCCCACCTCCAATCACAGCACCGCCCACTCCTCCAAAACGACTGCTGCCTGCAGTGCCTGCAAGGACAAATCAAGAAATTATGAAACAGATATAAAGATGGGATCAGAAACATGCAATTGGTTCAATTAAACCTGAGGGTGAGTGAATAATGACAGTATTTTAATTCTGGGGTGAAATGACGGTGTCAAAGTACCTTGACAGTCTCCTCCATCCCAATCACATGCAGAGTTGTTGCAGGCCTTGTCACAGTAGCCGTCTTTGATCCAGGAGCCTGGACAGCCCTCAGCACAGTTTGGTACAGGCCAGGTGAGATACACCTGTGAACAGAGAAAACATCTCAGGTGATTATCAAGGCCAAATGAGTTGTAATGGAAAGATTATTCGTTTAATAATATAAATCACTTCCCTTCAAAAGTTTTTACATTTTTAAAACTCTCTTTTGCTCACCAATACTACAAAACCAAAACTGGTCTCTACTTTAATAATATTTTAAAATATAATTTATTCCTGTGATGCAAAGCTGAATTTTCAGCAGCATTAGTCCAGTCTTTAGAATCACATATCCCTTCTGAAATCATTCTAATAAGATAATTTGCTTCTCAAGAAACATTTCTAATTATTATTAATGTTGAAAACAGTTGTGCTGCTTTTTGTGAAATCCATGATACATTTGTTTCAGGATTTTCCCTTTTATGAATAAAAAGTTCAAAAGAACATGTATTATATTTTTCTTTAACAATGTAAAGGGTCTTTACTGCCACTTTTGATCAATTCAATGCATTTCTTTTGAATAACAGTAATCATTTCTTTACAACAACCCAAATATTTTGAACAGTAGAGTATGCATTCATAGATCTTTTGTATGTATGCAAAATTTCCCTTTTAAATGTACATTTTACTTCAGATGTGCATAAACTGTTAGACATGCTGTTCAAATAAACAGTCTTTCTTACGGAGACAGATAGGCAGTCTTTCTGACCTTTTGACCTTTAGAGTGGCTGTAGAAGTCATCAGGCCACACATCCTTGCCAAACATGACATCATCATTGAGGTAGATGAACTTTTGAGAGAGTCCTGGGATTCGGTGAATGTGAGTCTCTATGGCAGGAGAACTGAATGTAGGCAGGTGGGTCTGGTTCTGAAAAATGTCCTGAGAGACAAACACAAAACGACAACAACAAGACACACAAGACTTTGTCAATTACTGTAGGTTTTACATAAATACACCCAATATTAGTAATAGAATGCATTAAAGCACATGCTAATAAACAAGGACGTCCCTTTTGGAGATCGTTTAGAAATTTAAGCAGTCTTTACTGGTCATCCAAGGGTTTGCAAAGCTCACCTGGTGAGTAACCACTGAAACACGTGGGTTATCTAGGTTTAGCCAAGACGGTATCTGTCCATTGGTTATGATAAAGATGTGCCGCACCCATGGTGCGTGTTTTTCAATAGAACGTAGTGAATAACGCAGCTCCTCATTGTCTTCAAAGCGACTGGCAGAAACATCCTCATCCTGTTTAGACTGAAAAAGAGGAAGACTGCTTATTATGAAGTTATCTATTCATATTTTTTTTAGTTAAGTGAACGCTTCTCGAGCACACATTGGCTTAAATTTTTGTGTGAAATTACAGTAAAATGTGCACCTGTGAGATGGCGCTAAGGTCCCAGAACAGGTATGCCGGACTGACTGTGAGCTCTTTTCCTTCCAACGTCAGGTTCTTCTTGGCCTGCTGGGTGAGGTCAGTAAAATCCTGCACTGTGTTTAGGTGGAGAAGAGCAATACTGGCCTCCGAGTACAGCTGCAACTGAGATAAATACATATACAAACAGTCACTCAGCAGCACAGACTATTTAAGCAAATAAGCAAAGCTGCTTATTTGCTTTTTTACTTTTTAATTGCCGTTTATAACAGCTCCACAATCTGTGCCCTTTTCAAATCATTCCCATGCCACTGCTAAATCTACAGTAATAATACACACACACGTAGTAAACTGCATAGAACTACTTTTACTCTTTTGGATGATGTTAATTTTCCCATCATTTCTAACTTCCTCTATCAGAAGGTTCTAGAGACACACCACAGCCATGTGACTGCCAGCATGCAGCCAAACTCCTGCGATGATGAGTTTGCGATCAGGTTTCCCTCAAAACAAGTTTTATCACTTGTCACAATGCTGTTTACAAGCAGAGGGTCTTCATTGTTACCGTTCCCATTCCTCCAGTTAATGCCAAAAGACTGCAGAGAGTCAAAATAGTTATCTATCAATAGCATTTACACAGAAAATGTGTTTCCAGGAACACCATCACTGCTTTGCCTGAAAGAAAAGGCCTTCTTCAGAAGTGTACTGACACTGCCATCATCACATTAAGAAAAAACAACCTGCAGAACCCAAATAGTTAAGGGGGGAGTGTTTGTGTTTATAGATGCATATTTTATGTACAATATAGACAACAGGCTAAATCAATGGTTAAAGCTTAATTAGTTAATGATGTAATTAGTTAATATTTTACTACGACAAACTATTCTGAACCAAAAACCTAAAACAAACATTTCTGCGTATTTATAACCAAGACATTATTTATGAATAGATTTTCCAATTGAGGACATCCCCAAAGGGACAATTTGCTAGATTTAGCTTACTTCTGGTGACAAATTTGTCCCCAACCTATAACTAAGTAGATTCCCCACACACACTTCACTGGCAGTATTTCTTGTGTAACAGTGTGTGCATTGGACAGAGGTCAAGGGAGAGCTTTCATCAACATTGCAAACAGGCTAACACACACTATAAATACAAGTCATCTCTCAACACTCAACTTCTCACTCACTCTCTCTCTCTCTTTCTTTATCTGTTCCTCAGCTTCATCCTTTGCTATATTACCTTATGTGACCCACATTTGGATTAAAGACACATACAATACTAAAAGGAAAAAACCCTACAGAAGACTCCCCATCGTTCAGATTGGAATACAATAATGAGCAGAACAAGATATGAAAGGAAAGTTGTGGAGCTGTGGAAATTTCTGTTAGATGGAGAGAATAGGACAAAAAAAAGTTTAAGATAAGAGTTACAGAGGGTATGCAAGTGAAAAAGCAAACAAATACAAGAACAAAAGAAAGCAGCATGAATGAAAGCAAGAATGAACAAGAATGAAATCAAGCAAAAACTGAATAAGCCAAGTAAGAACACACACACACACAAAAAAAAATCAAGAATCAACAAATGGAACAAACAAAAGCAAAAACAAACCTTTGCAAGCTAAATTAAAAAAAAAAAAAAAAAATCAAAGAACAAACTAAAACAAGCAAAGCTGAACAAAAGCAAACTAAAGTGAATGAAAACAAACTAATTAAAAAGTCAGACAAGAAAAAACTAAACTAAGCAAAGCAAAGACAAACATAAGAAACAAACAAAAGCAAGAACAACCTTTTGGAAGCAAAAATAAATTAAAGAAAGCATAGACTAAAACAAGCAAAGTTGAACAAAAGCAAGAACGAATGAAAGCAAACAAAAGTGGTTGAAATCAAGCAAAATCAAACAAAAGAAACAAACAAAAGCAAGAACAACGATATGCAATCAAGAATAAATGAAAGTACCCTAACCAACAATGAACACAAGAACAAACAACAGCATATACAAACAAAATCAAGGAAGAACAAAAACAAGCACAGGCAAACAAAAGCAATCAAGAAGGTAAGAGTGAAAGAAACAAATTAAAGCAAAGAGAAAAGAAACAAACTAAAGAAAATATAAACAAGAGAAAGAACAAACAAAAGCAAGCAAGTACAAAGCAAAGAAATGAAACAAGCAAACAAATAAAATATTTTAAGATATACAGAGCTCTGTGGGGAAACAGGAGAGGCAGAGATAGAAGGTCATCTAAACCCTGAAGCCTTTTCCGAGCGCAGGCTGGCGCCAGGCCATTTCAAACAGTTGTTGTACTGTTAACACCCCATCAGTCCGCTCAAGTGTCACTGTAATACCCTGAGCTCTTATCACATGACCGCAGACAGCAGGACGGAGCCCAAACATTGCCCTAACCATGAGATAAACACTGAGATCCACAACACACAAAACACTGATTATTATTTTATAGATCAATGGATGGGCAACGGTTATGCAGCTCGACAGCAAGTAATAGTTCAATAAGACAAATATAGTAACTTCATTGGGGTTGTTGATGGATTAAGATTAAGGCCTTAACATTTCTCTGCAAGACTCAAACTGGAAATACGCAGACAGCTGTGTCTTTCTAATGGATCTTGTGTGCCACCTTGTGGTCATTCCGAACACTGCATTCTACTGATTGTCTTATTTGAGAGGTTTTACCTGTTTGATTTTACTGGTCACCACAGCTGGTAGTTTGACCCTGAGCTGCTCAGTTTCCTTCAGTGACGCTGGGAACCCGCTCAAGTAGGCCAGAGTTTGCATGCGGACCAGCCCCGGAGCCTCCTTATCAGTCGTCTGTCACAGAAACACACGTTTAGACTCCATGAGTTTCACAAGTATTTGTTTAAAACAAAAAAAACTTTGCATTTCACACACATATGATGTAATCCATTATAATAACATGTGAGTGTCAAATAAGGGTCACCTACAAAATTTACAGTGATGTGGGTTGCCAGGAACAGGCTCAGGAATGCTAATAAAACATTAATCAAAAGGAAATTGTAAAAAAAAAAAAAAAAGTTCCTCTTGTTGGTTAAAGCATAACCGTAGACATCATACATCAGACATCACAACAACAACAAAAAGTTCCCTTTTCTGTGAATGACTTTGATTCGTAAAAGCAGCGTGGGATTTTGGTTTTGTACTGTGTTTTACTTAAATTTAGGTGTGGGATATTCCTGCTCATGTTCCCACTTTTTAGAAGGTGACACAAGAAACAAAATGGCAATCCATTGTTTTCACATCCGTTTTGCGATTTTTGATTTGATTATCAAAATCAGTGTACTTTTAGTATTATTTATATACTTTTGTAGTATTTATTAATATTTTGAATTAGCTTTTATTTGTATATTTTCATTTTAGTTTTAATTTTAATATTTTGTTAAATGATTTTGTCATTTTTATTAGTTTTTTTCTTAGCTATTAGCTTTAAATTAAATTTTTATTTCAGTTTTAGTTTTAGTAATTTTAGTACTTCAACCTACTTCATTTCAGTTAGCTGCCAATGCAACATTTCTAATGTTTTTTTTTTTTTTAAAGTTTTCTAAGTTTCTGTGATGTCATATATCCACATTTTGGTGAAGCTGGAATTTAAAATGTCCGAGTGATGTTCTGTTCCAAGAAGCAAGCTGGAATTTCTAACGCTCAGAGTGACATGGAAAGCAGAATTAGTCAATAAGAAGTGTTAGTACAGCAGTTATTTTTCTCACCAGATAACCTCTGCTGATGGAGTGTGTCAATGCATCCTTCAAAGCATCTGTATGGGCTTTTTCAGCTGCAACAGGACATAAAACTAATGTTAGACTAACACTGAATCAGTTTTGTCCCTGTTAGTGGACAATAAATGTTGAAGTATATAAATGTTGAATGTATGTAATTCTTAAGAGATTGCTTATATGTATAATATATTTACCAATTATACATTTATATTATATAAATAATTATATTTTTATTCCCCACTTCCGTTTAGTGTGAGACAGCATGTGAGTCTACTCTATACAGTATGTAGAGTCATACTCTATAAAGGTGAGAAGTAGGTCATAATTGTACCTTCACTGTGGGAGTGGAAGAGAAGAACAGACACGCTTGAGGAGGGGTGGAGAGGTTTGGACACCTGTAAGATTTGTTTTGCAGTGGAGAATGCTACTGAAAGTGTTGGCAGCTCCTTCAATGTGATGTTGGCAGGAAGGGATGGATCCAGCACCAGCACAGGACCCATGATGCAGTGAGACAGCAGACATTCTGGCCTATCACAGGGCACACAGACTGAATTAAAGCTTTGATCTAGAGCAGGGGTTTTCAAACTTTTTGGAGCCAGGGACCCCTTACAGGGGAGAGGATTTTCCAAGGACCCCCTCATAATTATAACAGTGTTTAAGGCTAAAGTTTAATGTGGGTAGGAGGAATGAACATAATATTAATGTTTTATTGGTGCAAATGGTCCCCATTGTACACGTACTTTTTAATACTACAGCATAATATAATTAAATTTACCATATTTTCCGGAAAGTTGCACCAGGTCAGGGGGCAAAAAAACAAAACAAAACATAAGTCGCATCAGTGTGTAAGTCGCATTTTACTATTACTTTAAGAAATAATTTAAATACTGAATAGGTCTAAATAAAACGAATGTCAGGGGGAAAAAACATTATAAACACTAACATGAATTTTACTTCCCCTCACTCCAAATCATTTAAATTTTGTGACATTCATAACAGAACAAAAATAAATGAATATATATGTTAAAATGTAAAAAAATGAATTATAGTGCCGATCATTACAAACAACATTTATTTTAAATGCCATAGGCGCCGATACCGTGGGTGCTCATGAAAAACACAAGATAGTCTTCGTTATTTTAACCAGTAAGAGATGGATTGCAGCTTTTACAACTTTATTCTCGTATTTATAGTTCAGTTTGAGGCAGTTTTTGCCATTATTTTAATGGCATTATTGTAATACGAAAGGGCGCCAGCACGAATCTCTCGGCTTACAGCGGGCTTGCTCTCCATTATAGATATAGTGATCGTGGCTTTGCGCTCCCTCAGATATTACGTGCAACTCAAACTTTGTCCTGGGTACGCGCAAAGTGCTTTTTGTAAACAGGTATTTATTAAATAATTGTATTTAGTGAAGCACAACCCTCATAGAAAGAATGTGTGTATTATTTGGTTGGTAAGTGCATGCATTTCACTTCGCAAGATAAATTTTGTGTAGTGAATTCATCAAACGGAGTATAACCTACTCTAGAAAAAACCAACACCCAGTAGCCTATAATGAATTATTGAGTAATGAGAATGTTTAAATATGCTAAGCATTTGTTGCGTATGTGTATGATAACTTAGCCCGGTTATCATTTACTGGTGTAAACAGCGGTGAAAATGCGTTTTATAAAAAACATAATAATAATATATATTTTTTTTAATTTAAAAAAATTTGTGCTGGGCGGTATACCGGTTCATACCGAATACCGGT